AGAGAGAGAGAGAGAGAGAGAGAGAGAGAGAGAGAGAGAGAGAGAGAGAGAGATGCTGAATGGCAAAATTGAAATATGGGTCAAATTGCGGCCGCGATCTATTTCACAGTTGGAATTATTTTTTTTAATTTATTGAACGTTTTTCCCGGAAAATGGCTCAATTTGACCCACACATGGCTGAGTGGCAAAAATGGAAAACATGCTGAGTCGGCGCAACGATTATTTCGCAGTCTAAATGATTTTTTGTAAATGTTCTAATATTATTTCTGGAAAGAACACGACCTCATCTATGGATTCTCAAAATTTCAGCTTTTTCTGCATGTTCCCCCGAGCACAGAAAATCGCCAAAGTTGCCTCTTGCAAAACGCCTGTTTCGTTGTGCCTGACGACCTCCCTGTTCTGAGAAGACGGGGCTCAATGCATGGGCCTGAGGGCCCTTTTGCAGTTCACATGCAGTCACTTCTTTTTTGGGTCAGCTTCTACCCGAGGACCGGTCCAACGCCCCCCGGTCCTTCCTTTTTCCAAAAGTCCCGGTTCTACCAGAGCTAGCTGTAGGTAGTCCGCAATTTTGGCAAGGACCGGTCCCCCAATCTTTTTTGCCGCCTGAGAACCCACTTTGCGTCCTGGTCGCCCGCCGCCAAAATGCAACACCTTGACACAGGCGCGGAAGCCCACTATACCGAAGCCTAAGGGCTGTGAATTGTAACTCCCTTTTGCATGTGGTTTCCCCGCTTGATCACAAAATCCAAGATCTACTCAGGCTTTTTTTATTATATCAGAGATGGGCGCTTCCAATCGTAATATCGGTGAACATCCTCCTAAGCCAGGTTCTATTGCAGCTTTACTAGCCTTCAACCCTCAGGAGCTGGCCAGATGTCGAACCAAACATTTCCACTACTTCCCTCCTCCCTCCCTCCCTCCCTCCCTCCCTCCCTCCCTTGCTGACCACCTCACTGACTACTTGCATTCATTCATCAATCCATCCATCCATCCATCCATCCACCCATCCAGTTATTTTATCCATAAAGGTTCTGAAGACTTGGTCCAGAAGACTCCTGCTGCCCATTCATTTACTCCTCACTGTCTCACATCTCAACCAGAAATGACAGAAACCCATTCCTCCATCCATGCATCCATACCATACTTGCAGTGCACATGCAGCGCATAGCGCACGTGCACGCATGCGCGCGCATGCGATACGGCACATCACATTGAAAAAAAAAAGTAAAAAAAAATCCGAAAGAACAGGGTGGGGTGGCCAAATGTGCCCCTCGCTTCTAAAAATCAAACTGAAGGAGGGAAAAAAGTCGGGGCCACGTCTTACCCCAAAACTGTGTGTGCATATGTGTGTGTGCGGGTGTGCAGGTCCTAATGTGTCCAGTCTCTTTTACAACGGGCCCCTACAGCGAATCTGCAAGGACCCATCGAGAAAGCAGAGATAGGCATTAGGCTTCCAGTTCTGCATGAGTGGGCCGAGAATATCGTCTGGATCATACTTGCGCAACCGCATGAGCCTCACATTCGTGCGGAGTTCCATGCGGGGGTTGCCTAAGCGGAATCATACAGGTTTTCTATTTCTATTATTATTATTTAAATTTATTTAAATCATTTTATCTTTGTTTGGGAGGGGGGACGGGGGGGCGTATGACAGGAAGATGGGGATATGGAGAGGAGGCCGAGGATGTGGACGAGGATGTGGACGAGGAGGACGACGAGGATAACAAGGACGACGAGTAGGGGGTGGAGAAGAGATGGACGGAGGGAAAAGAGGAAAGGCAGGAGGAGGAGGAGGAGCGGGAGGAGGAGAAGACATGGACGGCGAGGAAGGGGAGGATACGAGGACGGGAAGGAGACGAGGAGGCATGGAAGATGAGGAAGTACGAGGAGGAAGAAGAGGAGGAGGATGAGGAAGGGCAGGAGGAGGAGGACTAGTCGGAGGAGACGAAAAGGAGAAGGGAGGAGGAGACATGGAGGATGAGGACGGGGAGGAGGAGCAAGGTGACGCAGCACTCCTGTAAAAAAAAAAATCATCCCGCTTATAATTTTGGCGGGGGGGCTCAAAATGCACCGTTTCGACCCCGGCCTTCTTCTTTTTCCTGAGGGGGGTGACAGGTCGTTCCCCGCACACGTCGTGCGCTGCATGGGATTGGTTGGGTGGGTGCGCCGTACGTCGGAAACCGCCCACACAGAGTGTGCTTGTAGTACGGTCTGGATTGAATTCAGGTCTGTGGATTAGCAGTTATGGGCCACTAACTCAGCTAGGCCCTGTTGCTCTGATCCGTTTTCCTTTTCTTAGGCATACATGCAGTTGCTCTGAGGGCCTCTGCTCACCACATGCACAAAAGACAAAACATATGGCGACGTATGTTTCCATGTTCTAGCAGAAGATTCATTCCAATTTTGCACAATTGGTAAGTCGTGCAGCCAAGCCCTGAGAAACATGTGCAGAGACCAACAGGGCCTAGCTAAGTGAGCACCCCATAACTGCTGAAACACAGACCTGAATTCGAATCCAGAGTTATATATTCGGCCAGCTCCTGCTCCACTTCATACTCAACGCCTGCCTCCATTTGGTGGAGGGTCTACGCTAGCTTGCTGCGACAACACTTTAGATTACCTGGAGGGCCCTTTGATGTGTGTGAAAGGGGTCCTGCTCTCTCTCTCTCTCTCTCTCTCTCTCTCTCTCTCTCTCTCTCTCTCTCTCTCTCTCTCTCTCTCATGCGCATCAGTAATTTGCGCATGGCGCACGCGCACCACACGGCCCACTGCAGAAGTGCTCCGCAAGTATGATCCATACTTGCGTTGCGTGCTCCACATGTTCAAACCTTCGAGGTGATGAATCAATATAGCAAATCCAATTCCATCTTATCCCGTCCGCAATCCAATCCAATCCAATCTAATCCGATCTAATCCAATCCAATCCCCTACGACCCGATCCTGATGCAGCCGGACGTCGTAACGGTGATCCTGATCTGGTTCCAATCCCATCCAATGTGCTCCCATACAATCCCATCCCCCTCCGAACCCTGTCCTGACCCATTCTGTCCAAACCTGTCCCTTCGCATCCCATCGATCACATCCAATTCATCCAATCGGATCCCCAAATGATCCATAGCTTCTGGTCCTGGTCCCATACCATCCAGTCCCTTGTGATCCCGTTCCATCCCAAGCTGTCCGGTTGCATCCGATCGCATCAGACTGTATCCGATTCCATCCAATCCCCTCCCATCCCTTTCAATTCCATCCCATCCCTCTCAATCCTGTCCCGCCAAGTCCCCTCTCATCCAGTCCCATTCCATCCAATCTCATCCAGTCCCATCCAATCCCGTCCCATTCCATCCTCTCCATCCAAAAAGGAGTAAAATGAGATTGACAGACATGCTTTCAGAACCAAAAAAGAGACATTCATTGAATGCTTCACAGTAATGCCCCAGTCATCCACCTGTTTAAGCACTTGACAAATGACTGAAGAAATCAATAAACCACCACCTCAAGGTCATATTTCACCATTTTACACGTCTTTTCACGTTGTCTCAAGCGAAAACCACAAGACAAAGAGGAGGCAAAGAGAGAAGCCAAGAGGAGGATGACAAAAGGAAAAAGACAGGAGAGACCGTAAGAAGAACGGAGAGGAGAAGAAAGGAGAACACAAGGGACACAAGCAAAGGCAGAAGTTGATACTTAAAACCCAGAGAGAGAGAGAGAGAGAGAGAGAGAGAGAGAGAGAGAGAGAGAGAGAGAGAGAGAGAGAGAGAGAGAGAGAGAGAGAGAGGGAGAGAGAGAGAGAGAGAGGGAGGGAGGGAGGGAGGGAGGGAGAGGCAGATTAGAAAGAGAGCCAACAAAGCAAAGAGGCACACTTTATTGTGATGATGGCGAACAACAAGGGTTAATGATCGATCTTATGGAAAAAGAGGGCGAGTGAGAGGGGGAGACTGGCAGAAACCTGTACTGATGCCGTCGGTGATGCCGAGGGAGGGAAATCGGGAGAATGATCTCCATCACCCGCCAGAACTTGCCGCTCCAATGCAAAGTCAAAGTGGAATGTGCTCCTGGGTATATCCCCATCAAGCGGTGATAACTCTACCTGTCACCAGATAGGACCATTCACCCACCGCCCTCCCCCCCCCCCCCCCCCCCCCTCCCCCTCCCCCCTCTCCCCCATCAAAGATCACAGAATCCAATATGCAATTTGCCTGCTGTAGGATGTAAAACCACTCCACTTGGGAAAAAAAAAAGAACAGCAAAAAAAAGACACTTCATTTGAGTCACAATAACACATATCCACAGCGGAATGTTTTCCACTGTTTCAGGACTCTTTAAGAATGAATGAATGTCGTAATTACGACCACATACCTTCCAAACAGCCCTGATGTGAATATGTCCTCAACACACGCACGCACACACAAAAAAAAAAAACCCATCCCCGATTCTGTTCTGCGCAACCACATCACACAACTTCATATGCCTTCCTTTAAGTTTTTCTTTCTTTTTTTTTTTCGATTTTTTTCACTCTTTCATTCCACTCCCGATTCTCGCCAATCAAGATATTTGTGCTTTTCACAATACAAAACCTCCCACAACCTGCGCACTTTGACGAAGACTCCAATCTGTACCTAGCCCGTATATGGCTGAATGGTACACACATGTAACTGTTAGTAGACAGATCATGAGTTCGAATCCTGATTGAGTCAGATAGAGCAAAAGTTAAAAAAAAATGACAAGCGAAAAAAAAAAAAAAAAAAAAAAAAAAAAAAAAAAAAAAAAAAAAAAAAAAAAAAAAAAACACAAGACATCGATTTAGCCGGAGACTGAGTGAGCGAATTATCACTTCTGTCGCTGCACAGTCACACCAAGGACTATTTGAAATGACTGAACTTGGCCACAACTTTGGTCAAATACATCCAGGAAAGCCCTCATGTGAATATGCCCACCTGTCTTAAATTACTATCTATATGTTCAACGATTGCTCATCAAAAGTTATAAGAGAGATCTTTTGCCTACCGTCTCCACCTGAATAAAACACCCAGTCATTTAAAGGCTGTATTTGGTGCACCTTTCAGTCCAGATACAGCTATAATGATCGGGTGTTGTAATCGGGTGAAGACGGTAGGAATCATTCACAGCGATGCAATCTCACATTATCAAAAAGGTTCCATATCCGCATAAAGGCATGGGCATTTTCGGGCAAAACTGTATGTATCCGATCGCCGTTCAGTCCAGATTCAGTCCAGACACTTGTAGTCAGGATGTGGCCCACGTTCCTTAGGACACGCTATCTGCCTTCCTATGACGGGATCCAGCAAAATAACGCAATTAATCCTTGCCACTTAGTGAGCTTTTTTTTCCCTTTTTATTCAAAAAAAAAAAAAAAAAAAAAGGAGCTGTCTGGCTCCGGATGCTCATAAACTATGCATGAGAGGTTGATCCTTCCCACTTAGTGAGCTGGTTTTTTTTTTTTTTCCCACGAAAAAAGAGAACAACAACGACGTGTCTGTGGCTCATGATACACGTAAAACATGCGTGAGAGGGGGCACCCCTTTTCTTCGATTCTTTCAACCAACTGAACACGGGCAGCAATCACACCTGTGAAACCTTTTTCCTTCCTTCTTTTCTCTCTATTTGAAGGCTTTATTGTATTCCCTTTCTTTTTCGGTGGTGGTTGGAGATGGGGGGGAGGGGGTGGAGGGGGAGGAGGGGGAGGAGGGGCAGGAAAAGGGAAGCGGGTGGAGGAAGAGGATAAAGAACAGCAAACTAACCCGGAAAGAATGCACTTGCACATCCATGCGTCACGCACTTGAGCATCTGCATGCCCAGCTGCATTCTGACCGGGCTAGCTCCTGCATTTTAAACATGAGCAGCAGGCTCATTAATAATTAATAATTATGCACTCGATATGTAAGTTCCCCCCTCCTTCTCCTCAGGCTGAGTATATAATTATTATGTAACTTCTCCCTTCTTTTCCTCTGGATTTTTTTTCTGGCTTTTTTTTTAAACATTTTTCTCTCACAGTTTTATCTTATTTCCTCTGGCAATTGCTCTTCTTACCTGCACAGCTTAACTTATTCCGTATATAATGAAGTTAAACCTAGGCTACCAGAGTGGCCCGGGACCACTTGCCCGGCCGGGCCAAAAAGAAATTATTTTTTTTTTAAATATTAAAATAATTTTTTAATTTTTGGTAAGGAATTTATTTTTTTTCTTTTTTTTTTCTTTTTTTCCCTTAAAACTACACTATGTTCTTCTCTCAAATTCTTTTTCGCCTTTCACTACCTTCCTACCACTACTCCTAAGACTATATAGAGAGGACCCCTGCAAGCATAGGGCCTCGCAAACGAGGTAATTCATGTTGCCCCCCGCCCCAACAGCGGTAGTCAGAGATGGGGTGGGGCCGCCGGTGGGGGTCCGGCTAACGCAAAGACCAAGCATTTTGCCAGTAGCTGCGCCTCCCTTTCTCATCGTCCCCCACCCCTCATCGAGTAGCAGCAGAGGCTATGGCCAACACTCTCCCACACACCACACACAACCCACTCACGCTCACACTCACACCCATGTTGGTCATAGACCCCGCTAATACCGATCAGGGATATCCAGAGGACTATCACAGTCGGTTGGCACTAAGTGCGCCTCAGGCGGCCACGGGGCTTGAGGAATTTCGATGTGACCCTGAGGCAAAAGTTGTTCAGTTTATTTTCTGCATAACATAGGATTTTTATCGAGTTTATAATTTTTTTATTTTGTTTTGCTGGGACCTTCCCTTGCACGGCCGGGCCGCCCGACGAAACAGGGCGACCCGGGCAGCCCGGCTGGTAGCCTAGAGTTAAACTGTTAAACCAACAAATGGAAGCTGACACGCGGGGGTGTCATACAAGAACAGAAAGACAACGGTTCGCCTCCGCGACCATGAAGTTTGGACGAGGAGAGAACGAGAGGGGTGGGAGCAGAGGGCGGGCAACCCTGAACCCCTCCTCCCCCCCACGCCGACCCCATTTCCGGCCTCAGTGAGGCAACTAACACCGCTTACACGGCCAGCTGATTTTCAAAATCTTCAAGAATTTTCAAGTTACGACCTTGAGAAGACCAATCACGGTCCGCTTGTCCTCTGCTAACCACTCGGAGTGCTGTACTGACAAACGGAAGGCGCGGACGTATATTTATATGTAGTCACGGAGAGCTGCCAAGTGTGCCGAGGACTTAGATATTTATTATATTGTCTCATACCAATCGACAAAAAAAAAAAAAGAGTGCACGAAACAAATGAAGAAAACAGCAGACAGCATGAAGCACACTGCAACCCTTCTTTCGCCTATTTCCTGGGTTCTTTCTTTCTTTTCTTTCCTTTTTTTTTTTTTTTTTTTCACGGTCTCTCTTTTATGTCTCCTTTTAGCTCCCCCTTTTTACGTACAAGGCTAGCCCCGTTACTCTAGTTGAGCGTGAGCCGGCCACATCCTCGTCTGCCATGACGGTCCACTTACTCTCTGTAAGGAAGACTGGTAGTAAAGGGAGACGGGATAAACAGAGAGGAAAGATGGAAGGGAAGACAAGGGGACAATAAGGAGTGTGGAGACAATGGAGTGAAGGTCAGCACATAAGGAGGAATAAGAGGCAGCTCACCAGTCAGTCTGCCTCTTAAGAAAAAGAGGACATGAACGCTAGGGAAGCGATGGACGATGGCATGGAAGACCTAGCCAAGCATTTTCAGCACATCCATTGCTATGACAGCTGGCATTTAAGCATGCCCACCAAACACTGCCGACAAGTCGGATGTCGATTGCAGGCAAATAGGAAGGAAGAATGGCCATCACAGAAGGCCATGCATTTATTATATTATCCCTGCCCGCAAAATGGACATCTACGATGTCCGGATGCAGAGGATGGGCACAGTCAGGAAAACAGGGGCATCCCTCTGCACACACAGATGCAGAAACCCTGCCATTCTAGTGATTGAGGCAGAAGCATGACACCTGCAGGTGAGCATGACGGTGTCTGTAGCTGTGGAGACGAGAAGGTCGCAGAGAATTGACGCATTGTCCTGACGTGGAACAGGGGCAGAGAGGTGATCTCTGACATAAAAGAGTGTGCGGAAAGTTTGCTGCAGAGGCATCCTTGCAAAGGTAACCGCCGACATCAATCGCAGCATCCACTCTTCTCCCACTGTCCCACAGCTCCCAGTGGTCAGAGACAGGCAATTGCCATATAATGGCCAGCTCCGAGTACAATGCAGGGCAGGGATGTGGGATGGAGAATGAAGCCACTCACCGGGCCGACCAAGGTGCAGTTGAAATTGGCGGTCCCTCATCGCTACTTGTTGACATCAATTGTGAAGTCTCCTTCCCTGGTATGGTTACTACCCTCTGCCTCTAACGTCTTCCCCCAAAGATAACGCATCCTCATTTTGACTGTATCGGGCCGGGAACTTACCTTGGATACGTTCATTTTCAGCGTGCATTACGTTTGGGGGAACACGGTATAGGCAGGGGCGATCCACATCAAGCTCAAGGGCACAGTAAGAAAGTCTAAGTGCATATAAGGTGGGTGGTGGAGAAAGTGCAGACAAGCGTCAGTAGCAGCCAGATCGCCGAGATTGACGAAGATCTCAACGGAAGTAGAGGAACAGGGATCACAGAGATGGTCCTCATTGTCGTGAGCAGGCTGGCGCGCCAGACACTGGCCTGCAATTTGCGAGTTACCTACACGATGCTCCAAGCCCTGAATCTCCTGGACTGTGTCCTGGCCCCTCATGAGCAGATCACCCATGCGCTCTACGCCTTATTGGGCAATTCCCAATTCAGCCAAATGATGTCCCAAACCCGGGACGTCCGGGACTGCACCGTCAATTGGAACTGTCCCTTGAGTGGGGAGTGCACCCTAAGCGGGGACCGTATCCTGCTCTCCAAGGAACTCATGAATCTCCACCGATGAAAAGCTTGAAACGCGGTCTCATGACTGCACACCGGAAATTGCACTGCCTGCAGGGGACACAGGAATTGCCAACTGAAGGGATCAGGTAGCCTGTGGAGGAGGCACAGAGAGGATCAGGTAGACAACGAAACAGGCTACTGATATGATACCCAGATGAGGAATGACACGGTGCACGCCGTAGACAACGCACAATAAGAGGAGCTGCGGCATAGCAGACTGGAGGTGAGCATGTCTCCGGCAATGAAGATGGAACAGTGGCAACAAGAGAGTCTGTTGTCAAGCAAGACCGTGGAGGAGATGGAGGCAGCGCGGAGGAATGCTGCCATCTGCAGCCAAGCACAGAAAGAGAAGAAAGCGGTGTTCATTGGGCAAGGGTTTTGGAATAAACAATGCAAGAGTCGGTGAGGCTGTGGTCTTCTCTTCACTCGAAATGCAGCAGCGAAAACTGCAGCAGAGGAAGCTGCAGCAAAGGAAACTGCTACAGTGAAACCTGCAGCAGTGGAAACTGCAGAAGAGGAAACTGCAGCAGTAAAAACTGCAGCAAAGAAAACTGGTGGAGTGAAAACTGGTGCAGTGAAAACTAGAGAAGAGGAAACTACTGCAGTAAAAACTGCAGCAGTGGAAACTACAAAAGAGGAAACTGCAGCAGTGGAAACCACGGGACTGTCACGAGCAGAGGAGCAAACAGGGGCACGACGAGAGCTTCGTCGGGGAAGGAAGAAAGTGGATGATGCAGGGACCATTGCAGCATGCATCGAACCACGGAAAGACATGGGCCACATACATAGGATAGTGGTGCTGGCGAGAGCACAAGTAGCAGGTCCAGCCCTTAGCAAGAGTCGATGGGGGATTCCCACGAGAAAGCGTGTGGGAAGAAAGTGTTGTCGCGCCAGTTGTTGTAGACTTGTTAAAATTCCGGTCAATTGCCCAGTGTACACGCCAGCCGGTTGATGAGAATGGGTGTTGAAGGTTGCACTCAGATAATGAATGACGGGGAAGTCACAGACAGGCGCTTTATCAAAGACACTCATGCGAAGCGTGCCATTGGAGCTGACCGCTAACTACATACCTAAAGAGGTACAGGAGCCATCTGCCGCTGTAGTTTCCTTCCACTCAAGGCCATAGTGCTCTCGTGGAGGTGGTAATTGCCTCCTCGAAAGAACGTCCTCAAGAAAGACGAGAAGTGAAAAGATAATCTGATAGCCTGGACGATCACACTGACGAAGGTCATCAATTCGTCATCAACAAAGCACACTTCATCCCAATTCCTGACCAGCATTAGTTTCCTACTGCAACGCCGACAGTCTGCATCCAAAGTGTACCACCAACCGGCTATCAAAAATAGTTCGACTACTGAACAAATCCAATGGATCTGGGTTTCAAAAGACCCGTCCTCCGTGGTGTACAGATAAGTGTTCTGTAGAACAAAGCGAAGAAGTAGGAGAATCTGGGACACCGAAGATTGTCCAGGACTGAATCAGCTGGCGATGCACACACCAGAGGCAGATCTGACATGTTACTGATCCCCAAAAGCGCAGACATAGCAGCACTGGCCATATGTATATGTGTATATCTGTATATGTGTATATGTATATATCGTCAAATAGAACTGCCCGGTAAACCGTAGGCAGAGAGGGAGAAGAGGACAACAAACGAGGGGCTGTGTGTATATGTGTATATGTGTATATATTGTCAAACAGAACTGCCCGGTAAACCGTAGGCAGAGAGGGAGGGAGAAGGAGAAGAGGACAACAAACGAGGGGCTGCAACAACCTGTTTATTATCATAGAGAACTGCCTAGAGAACCACAGGCAGAAAGGGAGAAAAGGACACGAAACCGGGGGCTGTAAACATGCTCGTATGTATATATTGTCACATATCTATCAACAGAAGGGGTGTATTTTACGAAACAAAAAAGATGAAATTCTTTATTTTATCTCTTTCTCCTTGTTTATGTCTTCTTTCAGCTCTGCCTGCGTCATGCCTCTCTGGTACAAGGCTCATCACATCCATGTAGATGAGTGTGACCTGCCTAAACCCCTGTGCGACATAACCGCCCACTTGCACGCTGTGCAATAGAGGCAAACTAATGGGAGAGAGAGGGAATACAGAGAGAGGAAAGATGGAGCAGAGCAAGACACAGGGAAAGTACTAGGGACTGTGTGGAATGAAGATGAGAGCTTAGGGAGGGATAAGAGAAGATGCGGAAGTCAGTCTGTCCTCGACCACAGAGGGGACATGAACGATAGGCATGTGATGAGTGACGACATGAAAGACTTAGCTGAGCATTTCCACGCAACAGTCGCCACAATGGCTGGCGTTAACCATGCCCACCAGACACTCCGGGCAAATAGCACGTCAGCTGCAGGTCAGGAGTCTGACTCAGGACGAAGGAACAACAGGCATCACAGAAGACAATGCATTCATTCTAACCTCCATGGCCGCAAAATGGACATATGCGATGCCCGGATGCGGAGGGCGCGCGCAGTCAGGAAAGGAGGGGCAGCCCTCTGCACACATGGCTGCACAAAGCTTATCAATGTAGTGATTCTGGCGGATATGATGATGCATTGACACGTTGCCCTGCTCCGGCACAGGGGGCAGAGAAGAGATTCTCAACGTAACAAAGCGTGCGGACAGTTTGCTGAGCAAGAAAATACCGTCGTTGCAAAGGAAATTGACCACGTCAACCCTGGCATGGACCATGGTGTCCTGGTCCCACAGTTCCCAAAGGTCAACGCCATGAACAATGGCTTTGTAAATGTCCAGGTTCGTGCAATGCAGGCAGAAATGTGGGACACAGGATGAGACCACTCACCAGGTCAGTCGACCGTGGTGCAGTTCATGTGGTGGAGCGCGTCATTGTAACTCCCTAGGGGCTCGATCGTAAGGCCTCCTTCGCACATCTCTCTTGCAATTGCCCTCCAGCTCGATTATAGTTCCTACCTTGTGCATCTAGCCGGGAAAGATTCACATCAAGCTGGAGGGCAATTGCAAGAGAGAGTCTGAGGCCTTATACAGTGGGTGGCGGGGCATGCGCGGACAAGCATGAGCAGCTGCAACACCGCAGAGATTGTGAGGATCTCATCGAAATGAGAGGAACGGCAGGGATCACAGGGTTGTTCCTCATCATTGCCGTGAGCAGGCTAGGCCGCCAGAGGCTGGCCAAGCCTTCGCAAGCTACCCCAGATCGTGTTTTTCCAAGTCTCGAATGTCCCAGGTTGTGTTCTAGCCATACATATCTATCCATATATCGCCAAACAGAGCTGCCCATATATCGTCAAACAGAAGAACTGCCTGGTAAACCGTCGGCAGAGAGGGAGAAGAGGACATAATACCGACATATACATATGTGTATTCACAGCCCCTCGTTTGTTTTCCTCTTGTCCGTCTCTGCCTACGGTTTACCGGCAGTTCTGTCTGTTCAGAACCTCTTGCGTACAAGGCCTCCCACGTGAATGTAGGTTGAGCGGCGGCTGCCCCCACCCCCCGGTGTCATATCGACCCACTTGCACACAGCCAAAAGGCAAAGAGACAAAGAAGAGAGGAAGGGAACAGCCAAATAAACCAGAACAGGGGGCAACAAAACAGATCCCAGATGACAAG